CCTTCTTCCTCCTCTTCCTTCCTCCATCTTCCTCCCTCCCTCTCTTTCCTCTCTTCTTCTTCCTTTCCTCCTCCCTCCCTCCTTCATTCTCTCCTCCCACTATGTCTCCTAAAGAATATACCCTCCAACAGCACTATAGATAGACAACCAAGTCTTTAACACTTACACTTTGGAAAATACAAAAACCTAAATGGTGGGGCTGCGGAGGTGGATCAGCCAGTAAAGCACTTGTCGTGCAAGCATGAGGACATGAGCTTTGAGTCTCCAGCACGAACATAAAAAGCTAAGTGTGACTCAACCTCAGGGTTAGGGAGGCAGAGAAAGGATCCCTGGGGTTTGCTGGCCAATAAGTCCAGCCCAGCCTAACCCAGGTTCAGTGAGAAACCTGTCTCAAAAAATATGGTAGAGCAGAATGGAGGAAGACACTTGATGTTGGCCTGTGGCCTCCATGTGTTCTTCACTCTGTGTGTGCATGCCCACACAGACACCATGAAAATAATATCCCAGTCAGTCTGGAGAGATGGCTCAGCAGTTAGGAATGGATACTGTTCTTAGAAGACCTCAGTTCAGTTCCCAGCACACATGACAGGAGACACAGAACCAACCGCCTTTAACTCCAGCTCCAGGGAATCTGGTGCCCTCTTCTGAAGGAGCTGCACTCATGTGTACATACGCATCCCCACCCTACACACAAACGCATAATTAAAAAATAAAATAAAACTTACAAATTTCAAACCATGGCTATGGTAACTGAGCAGGATTGTGATGCTTACAGCAATGCTTGAAGTCATGTCATGTCTGTGCCCTCACACACACACCAGCTCCATGCCCGTGTGTCTGTGCACTCACACACACCAGCCCCATGCCCGTGTGTCTGTGCACTCACATACACCAGCCCCATGCCATGTGTCTGTGCACTCACACACACCAGCTCCATGCCCGTGTGTCTGTGCACTCACACACACCAGCCCCATGCCCATGCATCTGTGCACTCACACACACCAGCCCCATGCCCATGCATCTGTGCACTCACATACACCAGCCCCATGCCATGTGTCTGTGCACAGCTCCAGTTGTAAGACATTTCTGTTCTCAGCAGCAGCATTGCAGAGAAGTTAAAGGAAAGGTTGCGACCTACCCAATGCACACACTCAATCACCAACTTCCCTGCAGCCAGAAGGTCCTGAAGAGCACAGAGCCTGAGCAGGCGGGACCTGGAAGCACTCCAATGGCAAACCCCGAGTAACCTAAGAGAGTGAAACAGCTCAGACAGCCCATGATGGAGGAGGTTGTTGCTCCCCAGAACCTGGCAGGAAAAAAAAAGCATAAATCACCAGCAGGCCCCAGGGCAGAAAGCTGGGGTGGGATGCTTGACTTTCCCTTGGAGGCTGTGGACCAGCTTGGCTTCCGCTTCCACTCCTGCTAATTCTCCATTGCACTCTGTAACACCCTCCCTCAATGAATCAGTGGGAGAATTATTGGCAAAAAGAAACACGGGTGAAAGAACATTCAGAAGGAAAGGGATTTGCCTGCCTTAAGGGATGCACGGAGAGCTGAAGTTTTGAATCATCCATCAACAGTAAAGGCTTCTGGGAGGCAATCACTCCCGGATCCTCTTGGTTATTTAAACAGTTTTCTCCGAGAGTTCACTGTAGAGGCTGCTCACCAAAGAAGGCAACAGGACTGACTATGCAAATCTATGTGGAAAATTTGAATTTAATCGTTAGGAATTTTAAATGGGTTGCCTGGGCATGCAGAAGGTGAAGTAGGATACAGAAACAGCCTGCATTGGCTGGTGAGTTTTGTGTTTGAAATAGGTTTCTGTGCCTCCAGCTATGTGCTTAAGGGGAAAACTGACATTGATTGACAAGAGTCAACAACTTTGATATATTCTGGGTGGCAGTAGGAGGCAGTAGGAGTCTACAATGGGCAGTTGGAAGTGGAGATTTCGCAGCCAGACACAGTGTATACCATTGCAATGTTATTGGCAAGGGTGGAAGGCTGTGCGTGTGTGGTGGGGGTGGGGACTGTGTGCACACTTGTGTAAAGGGGTGCTCACATCTCTTGTCTGTGGAAGACAGAGGAGCATGTCAGGTGTGCTGTTATCACTTCCCATTTTATTCTCTCTCGAGATGGTCTCTCCTGGAATCTAGAACTAAGCTGGCATCCAGTAAGCACGGCGATCATCCTGTCTCTGCCCCCCCCCCCACATATACACAGTGCTGGGGTGACAGGGCTGCCAGTGATTACACCTGGCTATCCATATGGAGGCTGGGGATTTGAACTTGGTTCTTCATGGGTACAGCAACTCCGCTTATTTATTGAGCCATCTCTGCAGCCCCAGGTTTTCATTTGTAAATTAGGACCATGCCTTTTATTTGTGTTTCATTGGCAGCACAGAAAGGAATTGCTAACCCTCCCTCTGAATCCTTCTAGAACTGTGAACTTCATTTCTACAGCTATGTTTTTCTTTTAAGATCTTTGATTGGAATATATTCATGTACATAAAGGTGAGTTTCATAAAGGCAATTTCTTTCAAGTATATTGTATACTGTGACCATGCTTACTGTCTTCCCTGTTGGAATCAGTTGGCCTCCCTTCTGAGGGGACCCAGATATGCAGTCTTTATGCCTAGGTTAGGGCATACAAGAAAGATGTGATAGCTTCTGACAAATAGGTCTGTGACATCCTTGCTTCCCAGTGAAGAAATATTCATTTTATCACCAGAATATGCTGGCCTCTTCCTTGAAGCAAAAAGCTTCAAGGCCAAACTCTCCAAGGAGCTTGTCAGTTTTCAGTGTTCTGATCTCTTAAATTCACATGTGACTGCCTAAAGCAATCTTTAGCAAAAGGACAGGTTATCTAGTTACTTATAGACACTCAAACTATAACAACACAGTGGGGTCTAGATCACAGCCACTGATTGGCCAGTAATAGACAGAAGTTGTTGGTCCCAGCAGTGCTGAAACCCTGTGGAGTTGGCTTTGGAATAGTTCCCTATTCTTTAGCCAAGTCCTAACTTAACTCTACAGGGAGAAACTCTTGTCCAGGGCTCCCCAGGGTCCTTGGCTCTGTCCTTTGCAAGGTCAACCTTTTCCACTGCCCTCCTCGGCTATGATGGAGTCAGTGTTGATGTTGAGGCACTCCCTAAGGTCTATAAAACTTCTCCAGCTGTTTCCTGCCCTCAGGCCAGCGCCAGTGGTGTCTAACAGTTGAAAGATTTCTTAGGCTCTTTTGAATATGCGTTCCTCTCGGAACTTTACCTAATGGCTTCCAGCAGTATCTATGTGCCATTAACTATGCACCAAAATCTTGCATAGATGTGACTTCATGTCTGCCATCCTTGTTTGTTTCCTTGTCTGTAAATTCCCTCTCTCCATTTAAAGGCAACTCCTGCAAGTCTGGTGGCATCAGGGTCGTAACCATAGAAAGCTGATTGACGATTTTCAGAATGTTTGCAATCCTATCCCTTATTCTTTGGATCTAGGAGCTATCCCACAAGAGATAAAGGCACATGGTAAAGTGTTGTTTCTGGTTCTCTTTCCCTGTTTGTGTGTGTGTGTGTGTGTGTGTGTGTGTGTGTGTGTGTGTGTGTGTGTGTGTGTGTAGGTTCACACATGTGTAGGCCAGAGAACATCCTCAATTATCCTTCCTAATATGCTCCACTTTCTTTTTGAGTCAGGAGAGAGAGCTCTGGATTGGAACTTGCCAAGAAAGCTGAGCTTGCTGACTATTGCGTACCTGAGATCTGTCTGTCTATACCTTCCCGTTGGGCTTACAATCATGAACCACCATAGCTTTTTTTTTTATATGAGTTCTGTGAATTGAAATTAAGGCAATATTTTAGTGACTGGGCTGTTGCCCCAGGCCACATGTGGCGTTATTGTTACAGTTATGGTCTGATCACAGCTGAAGATACCAATTGCAGCTAGTCTAATTAAATATCGGCATGGTCTCAATAAACCCTTCCTCCCTGATGAAAATTGCACTATGTCAGAAACTCACAGCATTCCCCATGATATTGGTGAATCCACCAACAGAACTCCCTTATGCTTGAGTGCTACATGAATTGGAACAGAAATGAAAGTCATGGTCCCTAAAAAAAAAGTAAACAAGATGCTTCATGTGTAAGTATCCATCCATCCGTCCCTCTATCATTCAGCTACATGTCCAAGTAGGTATCAGCCCATTCACCCATCCATTTTCACCTGCAAAATTTCCTTAAGCACATCAGAGGTAAAATCTCTTTGGGCACATCAGAGATGCATATCACAACTACGTTTTTATACCCAAACTGGACACACTATCTAACATTGAGGTCGTACTTTTTTAGAATAGAAAACAACATTAGATGTCACAACAGACTCAGGAAACAGGGCATTTGGTTGCTATGCATACTGTCTGGGCTGAGAAATGAGGTTTGGAGGAAGACTGGAGTAAGAGCCCCCAAAGAGATAAGCTGAGGGGAAGTTAGAATTCTGTCCTTGCCAGCCTTTGAAAGCAAATCAGTGTTAGTCTAGAAATGTGAACTGATAGGAGCAGAAAGTCTAAATAAATTCTGTAAATCATGTCCCTTCTGTCCCTTGCATATCTTACTGCTCAAATTGCCTCATTCTGCTTTCCCCTTTGCTCATTTATTTAAGAAATGTTTTTACGAGCAGTGCCTACATAGACATTATGATAGATATGAGGGTCACAAAGAAGGCAGAGGAATCTTAGCCTCATAGAATTTTTAGTTGAGTGGAGGAGACAGACATTAATCAAATAACCCTGTAAATTAACTTGTCATAAAGCCCCAACAAGGGCTATAAAGGCCACAACAGAGGATTGTGTTGGAAGGAACTAATCCATCCATCAGGGCCAGAGAAAGCTTCCTATAGGGAAGGCATCAGAGTAAATGTGAGGTGTGTGAGGGTATCACAAGGTCATAAAGGTCAGCTGTGACCTTTCCAGGCAGAGATGGCACGGCATCATGCATTTTGTTCTGGAAACTGGAGTTCAGGGCCTCGGAGAAACAGGACAGAGAGATGGAGACAGCTACAGAAAGGCAGGTGGGTGAGGCAAGGCTAAGGATTTAAAAGAAGCAACAATTGCAAGTTTTCCACCCAAGAGAGGTCTTTTGGCCTTTGAGAGGATTGTTGTAGATAAGGAGGAAGGAAGAAACCAGAAAGGATTCTGGGAAGTGAGGGTCTTGGCTTGATTTACAAAGCTCTTTTGTAAGGTCACCTTGCCCATGTCACTTCCTACTGTAACACGGTACCTTCTGTCTTTGCTCCTTTCCAGTTGCTGTGACAAAACTCTGACAATGGTAACTTAAGAGGAAATGGTTTGTTTTAGCTCATGGATCATCAGGAAGCAGAAAGCAATGCGCGAACGCTGCTCGGTTCCTTCTCCTCATCTGTGCAGTTCAGGGTCCCAGGTAGGGAATGCCACCACTCCCAGTGGACAGGTCTTCCCATCTTAACACAATCCAGGCATACCCCACAGGCCTGTCTAGGGTCCCTTCTCCCAGGTGACTAGATTTTGTGAGGCTGACAATGAATTCCATCACACTCTCCAAGTGGGTTCCTGGGCACACTTTCCAGCCATTGAGTCTTTCTCCCCAAATGACTTCCGCTCTGCTCCCCCCCTCCTCCTTTTGGCTTCCCTCAGGCTCTTCTTTCTCTGAACCTTTTCCCTGTTCTCCTCCGACTTCCTATTGCATCCACAGGCAAATTCCTAGTTTTCAACATTAGCTTTGTTTCTCACCTAAGGAAGCCTCTCTGTCATCCCTTTAATCCCGGTCTCCTCCTCTCCCAGATAAGGGTGATGACTTGGAAACATGCCCTTCAGTTTCTAGAGACTCTAGCTGCAAAGATCAAGGCCCACATGAGCCAGTCTTTGATTACTTGCTGGTTTATTGTGCCACAGGCTCAGTGGGGCGGGGTGGGGGGTGTGGGGTGCAGGGACAAAAACATTTGTCTCATTGGTATTTCTAGCCTGTTTTCCAGACCCCAGCACATACTCTGCCCTCAGTAAATGTTTACATAATTCAATTTTAAAATGGACATGTAACTAAATATTCTAAATATTTCAGGGGCACCTGGACATTGTCAGAAAAAACAAGTCAATTCTCATGTTGAAAAAAAAGTATTATCTCGATAAAGTAACACGTAAAAGTTTATGAGGTTTATTTACTGGTATGAAGAATAAGCTATAGAGTATTGAAGTGACAGCTCCAATGGCCAATAGAACTTCCTTTGCTTGTTGAGAGTCTAAGTTTTGTACCTAGTGCCTATGTGGCAACTGAGAAGTGTCGGTAACTCCAACCCCAAAGGATCTGGAGTCTTCTGGGCTCCATGGGCATCACATGCATGTGGTACATTTACATGCATGTAGGCAAACACACACACATAAAGTAAAAATAAATAAATATTATTTTTAAAATGCTGTAGAAACATATATGCAGATTATCTTTCCTGTTAGGCAACAGCGTTGATTAGCCTGGCTCACAACACTGTGTTCATTGAGTGTATTCATTGAGGCCTTATTATGAATAGAAAATGTTAAACTCCTGAACTCCTTTAGGTAATGACTATGATTGCTTCTGATGCTGGATGCTGCTGGACTGTCTGGCCGTCATTATACTGGTACCAACACTGAAATCACTAAAAGATGAATGAAGTGCCAAGCAATCCTGAAGGGACCACCACCTGGCTGTTTCTGTTACTGACCCAGAAACCCAAGGGAAGCAGATTCTTGAGAAAAGAATATGTAAGCATTGAGGTCCAAAGGCCTCACCTTGGTCAATGTGTTGTTCACTTCAAATTTTGTTTCTTTCATTTGAATTTTGTAACTTGCCTCATGTAGATATTAAACATAAAGATCTATCTCTAAATTTATATTTTTAAGAGTCCTGTGAACAGTACTGTGCTTTTCTTTCATATTTCAATTATGCATTGTAAAGTATATAGGAAAGTGGAGAAACTTTATACATTAACTTTGACTCTTTCAGCCTTTAAAAAATAAAAAAAAACAGTTGTTGTATTAGTTACTCCCATGTGTTACCTTGGCAAAATACTAGACAAAACAACTTTGGAAAGAAGTGTTTGTTGGGATCACAGTATAAAAATATATTCAGTTCATCACGGGGAGGCATGAGGTGACAGGTCACATGGCATCCATCCTTAGGGAACAGAGAGATGAGCAATGGGGTTTGCTTACCCCTTTATATTCAGCCCAGGGCCCAGCATATGGGTTGATGCTGCCCACACCTAGAAGCTCCTACCTAGACATTGCCAGAGGTTTGCTCCCAAGGTAATTCTAACTCACATCAAATCGACAATCAATTGCCCTTTGCAAAGACAATTTCATTTTTCTTTTTCTTCATCCTAAATGCCATCATTATATTCCTTTTTTGTTTTTTGAGTAATTTAATTGACTAGAACTCCCAGGAGGATGTTGTGGAGGTACAGCAAGGATAGTCCTTGATGGCCTCTCATCTCATCAGAAAAGTTGTAGTTTCTTACCTGCTAGTGGCAAGTCTTGGTAAATTCTTTTTATCAAGTTGAGGAACTGAGTTCCCTTCTATTCTTAGTTCACCAAGGAACAATACATCTTTTTTTTTTTTAAAGCAATACATAAAGTAAAGCTTGCACATTGATCTCTTGGGGGAAATGTATCTTACATTAAAAAAAACTAGAGTAGAGTCTAGCTATAATTCAATGTAGCCTTTTGGACTCGATAAAGCTATATTTCTCTCTTTAGATCTGCTTATTTCCTAAATTTGCGCTCAGTGAATAACCGCGGTATGGAGGGCGATTTGGTGGTCTGGAATGGCTTGGGAGCAGGGCATAAAAACTGATTGGAAGCTAACTAGGACTCTGCAGAGGGATCAGAAGCAGCAGTGGCCTCATCCTTGAGCCTGTGAGCTGAGCACCCTGCCTGACCTAGCAATCGCCACTTCGTCCAATCTGCCACGTAGTGTGAAACGCCAGGTTAGTTTGCTTTTTGCTTTCAGAGTAGCACCGCGCTTTGGTGTGGTGTGTGTTGGTGTGGGTGTGGGGAAAGACCGAGATTCACGTGTCAAAACCAGAAAGCCAGGACCATGACAAGTCCCACACCCTAAGGTTGCTGAACTAGGACTGCCCAAAACCCGGCATACTCCAGGTGGCAGGGGATCGGGACGCGCGCCCCCGCCTGGTCCATGAGCGCCGGGGCCGCCACAGCCTCACGCCCCGGTGGCTCCAGAGCGCACTGCCGGGCACTCTCCGGAGCTCGGGCGTCCGCGATCGCGTGCTGAGGCGCCGGCGGTGACAAGAGGGGGGTGCGGCGCAGCTCTGCCACCGGTTCCCAGCCGGCGCCTGGGACCCGCCTGGAGTGGCTTGGCTGAGCCGCGCCGGTGACCCACGGGCTTCCGGACCCTCGCAGCAGCTGCGAGGAGCTCGGGCCACTGCTTCCCCCGCTCCACTCTGGGCGCCCGGGGCCACTCGCTGCCGCTGCCCATGGGTATCCGAGAGTTTCCCGGCAGCGCTCCCAGGGCCAAGAGCATCGCTGTGTGAGTGCCCCGCTGGAGTGGGAGGGCTGCGGGCAGGTGGCACCCACCATCCTCGACCCTGCAAAGCCCGCACTGCCACGCTCGGGGAGGGAAGGAGGGAGGAACAGTCGTGTGCGACTGAGCCGGGGAAGTTTCAGCATCATCTCCTGGCCACTCGCCCCTGCTCACGTTGCCCGAAGCGCCCAGGGGAGGGCACAGGACCCGACGCCTAGGTGCTGGGGAACAGGGCATATGGCAAGCAGCATGAGGGGAACAGCCATGGGTCCTCACCGGTCCTCACTGATGTCTCCCCCTCTCTGCCCTTGACTCATCCTGCCTTCCTGTGGCCTCAGTGGCATGAGGAGGTCACCGGACGTCAGCCCGCGGAGACTGTCGGACATCAGCCCTCAGCTCCGGCAGCTTAAGTACTTGGTGGTGGACGAGGCGATCAAGGAGGATCTGAAATGGTCGCGATCCGTGGAGGACCTTACTAGCGGGCCAGTGGGGCTCACGTCCATCGAGGAACGGATCCTGCGCATCACGGGTTACTATGGCTACCAGCCCTGGGCGACGAGCTACAAAAGTAAGACCCCCACGTAATTCCCCTTCCCACTGGTGGTCCGTCTCCCTGCCAGAGACACAGCAGCAAGGGAAGCCCAGAGATATTGATCACTGCACCCTCCCTCCTGCACGCGGATTGGCAACTTCAATAAAGAAGCCTGGAGGCAGTTCTTCTGCCCCGAAGGCAATGAGGGGTGCTTTCTGTTACATTCTCTCTGCTTTCTGCTCCCCAAACACATCTTTACCACCACCACCCCAAGACACATGCCCATTTCTAAGTGATTCTGAAGGCACGCCTGTTGTCGCTGTCCATGAGAAATGCTTCAGAGAATCAAAGTCCTTGCCTGAGTAGGGTTCTGATTGGATCCTGTCGCCCTTAGCTCAGGAAAACTCAGTCTTTGGCAGCCTGCATTTTAACTATCTCTCTCAAATACAAATGATGAAGATTCCTTGAACCTAGCTCTGTGTCTTTGCTTTAGGATTGTATGGTTTCTAAGTGCGAGGATTTTATTTGGATCTTTCTAGATACTTAAGTGAGTGTCTGAAAGATGAGTGAGTTCTTGGGGCCAGGTGGGTTAACTCAAATTTACCCTGGGCATCAGCTGCTGACCTTGTCTGCTATGGTGAGCCATTGCCTGTGGGGGCAGGACTCATTTGGTGGCATTTATCTTATTTTCTTTGAAAGAGAGATCGAGATTGAGATCTCAAGACACTGTTTGAGATATTATCAGAATCTGTGTTATACCTTTGTAGTTAGACACTGCAAAAGGGTTGCAACTTGCCCCCTCAGTGGGTTTAACAAGTGAGCATGAGTCATTCATTTGTAAGAAAGTCTAGACTAGCAGCTTGATAATTCTGAATTAATTTTTAACCTTTTATTGCTGAGAACTACAACATGATGGTTTTTAGGGGGAAACACTAGACATTTGTTTTATAATTTAGCAATATTCACCAGTAACAGTGTGTCTCTGCTTATATTATTCTTAACACCTTCTAGTCCAAGCACTTGGCTGTGAGCTTGTTCATTTTGTTATTTGCAATAAAAGGCACAGGGTTTGAGTGCTTGATCTCAATGGCCTGATTTGACCTTAAAAGTCTGTGAAGATTGTATGTAGAAATCCTTCTGATGCTCCCGTGTCTCCCTGCCTCTGCTTCTGCTGCTAGGATTGTTGTTTGCATTGGCTTTCCATTGCAGAAGGGACTTCTCTGTCGCCGAAGGCCGCTCAGCACAAAGTAACAAGAAGTCGGGACTTTCAGACTTTCCTGGGGGTGTGAAGAGGATCCTGTCGTCCCGCTTTGGGAACTTCTGTTAGAAAATAGATATTCTGTGTTTTGTGTCTACATTCTCTGCTTTCATACAACTAAAGGCAGCACTGTAAATTACAGGCTTTGAGAAGTCATCTCTCAGCCCCTGAAGTCATAATAAGGTTTATTTTTATGGTCGCATGTGTCCCAGGCTCTATGCACTCTGTAAAAGCAGTGGTGGAGGTTTGTGACTTTGGGGGCTGGTGAGCAGCTTTTGGACATGATGACTATGCTGAACATACTTTATAGTAAGACCCAGGAAAGGCCACATAAAGAGCGAGTAACTTGTGCCACCAACAATATTCTTAAACACCATTTTCCAAGGCTCCTCTGAAGGAATAGGCGGAGTAGGAAAGGCTGCGGTCGTTATTGCCCTGTGGACAAAATCCTCACTCATTCCCTCTCGCCCTGTGAGGATTCTTTCTTCTTCCAAGGTATTCCCTTGCTACTAAAATGTTTTAGGTGACAAGTGACATTTTGATGAATTAATTGGCTTTAAGTTTAAATTTAGAGGCGCTGATGTTTTATTCATGCAGCAGAAGAAGTTTTAGGGCAGTGCTCTGCTGTTTGCCATTTCTACCTAACTCTGAAAATAATAACACAGGCATATCCATCCGTGGGCCCAGTTCACTGCTTAGTTTGTTGTCTAATACATGAACTCAGCAAGCTAGAGAGACAGGGATTACAAAGTCAAGTGTGTGTGTGTGTGTGTGTGTGTGTGTGTGTGTGTGTGCACGCGCGCGCACGCGCGAGCGTGTCTGAGTGCTTAAGCACACCCATGCACAGGTCCACACAGGGCAGAAGACAACCTTGGGTGGGTGTCATTCTTCAAGTTCTGTCCCCTTGCTTGTGTTTTGAGACAGAGTCTCTCACAAACATGGAATTTGCTGAGTAGGCTAGGCTAACTGGCCGTCAAATTCTTCAGGAAGCTGCCTGTTTCTACCTCTTCCATGCTTGGACAGGTAACACCACACCCTGCGTTTTCATGTGGGTTCTGGGGATTGAACTCAGGCCCCAATGCTTCCTAGACAAACTTTACCAACTGAGCTACTTAAACAGAACTCTTGATGCTAAGCTTTGTTTTAGTCTGAAGCCTTTGAACCTTCTAGATTATTCTTTGTTGTGTGGGGGTTGTCAGTGGGTTACTGCTCATTGGATGACAGAAGACTGCCATTCCTCCCCCAGTTGGCAACCAGATTGTTTCTAGGCACTGACAGATGTCCTCTGTAGGGAGCACCTTTGGTTCAGAACTACTTGGTTACTCTGAGCCCTAAATATGTACACCAAGAAGCAGGCCCTCTGGTTTCCCTTCACCTTTCCGGTCCTCTTGGGTCATTCCTTGGAGTTTTGTGATGAGTCAAATCAGAATAAACAGTCTTCTAAATACTCCATGGAGCTGGACGCTTCTGCTCTCATGATCCCTCTACTTGATGATAGCTTCTAGAGAGTTCTTCAGCTTCTCTTAACAGCATCCTTTGCCTCCTTACCTTAGTCTGGAGCAGAGGAAAATGGGTGACTAGGATATTTTCAGTTGTTTCCCTTTGCTTCCTTCCCTGATAAAGACATGATTTGGGAGGGAGGTTAGATGGGAGGAAAAGGGGCCACAGTTGAGAGTGCCATGTGTTTATGTGGACAGGCAGGCTGCAGCACCTGGCATGCTTGGGAATTGGTGGCTTATCTGCACGTGGAAATAGCACATCTTGAGATCCCAGATGGAACCTCCGGGTGCTTCTTCACTTAGCAGGCACTTTGGGGACACTCATCCCATGACAAGACACAGAGCCAGGCAATAGAATATGAAGCTCCTAGCATGGGTGCATCTTCATCCAGAAGCAAGGGTGACACAGATTGCCTTAAACCAATAGCTAAAGTAAGGTCAGTGCAGGAGAAACTAAGAAATTGTGCTTCTTCTGAGCAGGGACATTTCACTCTGTCAAAGTATCCCCTAATGGCTCCCGAATGGTGCTCTCTCAAATACTTTCCTAATAGAAGCACTTTTTAGGAATAGCTATGTGGAAAACGGGGTCATGCCTCACTGTGCAGATGTCTCTTCTGGGTCTCCTCACAAAGTGCCTGGCCTAAAATACTCCAAAGAGGGTTGATTGCTTTTATATGTATTCATTAATACCATGCCATGCTAGCATGTTGAGATAAAAATGAGCAGCGATAGCACGTTTAGATAAACGTGAATTAATTTTAGAATGCTGGTGAGTTTTGTGTCAATTCATTCATAGGGTGGAAGGCAAGCTAGTCCCTCCCTACAAGCTACCCATCTCTAGCTCACTCCCACCAGCTATGGACAGTGTGAACTTAGGCCAGGAGCATGCAGGGAGTGAGGGTGGAAATTTTCTGTCTGAAGTTTATAAATATGTAGGGCACTGAATGGTACCTGGTGAAAAGGACACTGATGTTTCTGTGTCTTCCTGACTCAAGCATTTCAGTGGCTTTGTATGTGGTAAAGAGAGGGGAAGACACTCTTCTTGATTGCTGTGCTAGATATTGTGTGACACCACTCCTGAAAAGACAGTGATAAATGTGTAATCACCCCAGATAGGGAATCAATGACAGGCCAAAGGAACCATACTATTGAAGTCCAATTTGGTAACCAGTGAGTTTACTGGTATTACTCACAGGAGTGTCATTGAGAAGTTACGTACAGGAACAGGGATAACTCAAAGGCACTGAAAGCTACCTGGACATGGTGACAGCTTGTGGAAGTTGAATCCCTGAAGCCTTCTGCAGAACTTGCAGGCAAGTCACCAGGTCAGAGAGTGTCTTCCATGCTATAGGATAGTCTGAGTCTCCTCAGTCCCTCTTATTTCTATAATCTTAAGGAAGGAGGGGGCTTTGTAAATCTTCTCAATTTGAGGGACTTTCTGAAACTTATGCATTGTTTACTTCCTGGGTCTTAAGACATTTACTTCCTTCCATATTTCCTCAGTCTTATTGGGATTCCTTTCAGAACTTTGGGAATCTTGAGGAGCTTCCCTCCAGGCTGGAGTACTTCGACTCAGAAATGGCTACTTAACATGATTTCAGACTACTCTGTGTGCATAAGCTGCTGGCAAGGCTTCATGCATAATGGGGTGACAGGTTGAGGTCAGCAGAGCACAATTTCTGTCTGACCTGGCCCTTCAGAATAACACCAATCAAATCAGCAACTTAGAAATGACCCACTTGAGACAATGATGATTTCCTTGTGACGTGCTTTTCTAGAATTAAACTGATGATGTGGAACACAAGAGATAAAAAACCTACAAGAAAGAGTGGGTGGATGGCAAGTCTGGAGATCATTGGAAGACAGCATTTTCTGATATGTCAGTGTCTTAACCAAAGTTCTATTGCTATAAAGAGACAACATGACTATAGCAACTCTTATAAAGGAAAACATTTAATTGGGGCTGGCTTACAGCTCCAGAGGTTTAGTCCATTATCATCATGGCAGGAAGTATGGTGGCATCTAGGCAGATATAGTGTTGGAGAGAGTTAACTAAGAATTCTGTTTCTAAATCGGTAGACAGAGAGAGACACTGGGCCTGACTTGAGCATTTGAAACTCTAAAGTCCATCCACATGACACACTTCCTCCAACAAGACCTCAGCTCCTAATCCCTGTCAAGTAGCTTCAGTCACTAACGCCCAAGCAATGAGCCTTTGGGGGCCATTTCTATTCAAACCACAACAGTTAGTAAAATTTGGTTATCAAATGTAAATAGAC